GATCCCTATATTAGTTTTGATGTTTCCCACACCCTTCCACCTCTTATTCATGAATGTGACCAGCTAGAAGACAGGAGATGAATGCTCCCCTCTGCACCTCGGGAATCCCTGTGCACACCGTCTCTTCTGGTTTGCCTCAGGCCGAGCTGTCTCCTGCACCTCAGCTATGCTAGGCTGCCCCTCACTCACCCCGCCTTCCTTGTTGAACCTGCACTGTGTATCTCGGTTCTGGTTCATCATCAGGTCTGTGTGGTTTCTGACAGACAAGGGAAAATGAGTTGTCTTTGTGATCTGCCTTCTCTTTCCCTGGTCCCTGGGGACCTATCTGAGATTTCTTTAGCCTTAGGTTCATTTGTTTCTTGTTTTGTTTTTTAAAGTTTTTGTTTGGTTTTGTTTTTATGGGGTCTCACTGTGTATCCCTGGCTAACCTGGAACTCACTATATAGACCAGGCTGGCCTCAAAAGATTTCCTCCTTCCTTTACCACCCTCCCCAAGTGCTTGGATTAAAGTTGGGCATCACCACATCCTGTCTTGTTTGTGTGTGTGTGTGTGTGTGTGTGTGTGTGTGTGTGTGTGTGTGACTATGCCACAGAACACCCTTGAGTGTCATCCTCAGAAATATTATCCACCTCATTTGAGATAGGGCTCTCCCTGGCCTGGACTCACTGGTTACACACTGAGCCCCAGGGAGCCTCTTGTCTACCTCTCCGATGCTGTGGTCACAAGTGACTTCCACCATGACCAGCTTTCCCACACGGTTCCAGGGATTTAACCCAGTCCTCATGCTGGCCAGGAAAGCATTTTACAGGCTGAGCTACCTCCCCATTGGTGATGTTGAATTTTATTTTTATTCCTTTTGTTTGTTTGGCTTTTGTTTTGTTTTTGAGACAGCCCTGGCTGCCCTGGAACTCACTCTATAGACCAGGCTGGCATTGAACTCAGAGATCGTCCTGACTCTGACCCCCAAGTACTGGGATTAAAGGTGTGCGCATCCACCACCTGGCTCGTTATTCTTTTGGTTAGTTATCCTTTGGGCCTTTGGCACCTCTCCCTGACCTTGGATTACACATCACCTATTCTCTCTCAGGTTTGTGGCCACTCTCACTTATACAGGGTCATGATCTGGCTCAGGCGTCATCAGACCACAGGCTCTGGACCTGGCTGTGTCCCCCGCCTCCTTCATACACTCTCTAGGGTCCTGAACCCAGTCTCCCCAGTCCCAGCCTTCCTAGGGGCTCCACCCTCCCTGCTATAGCCCACTTCCTGGGCTGCTTTAACCTCTATGTTCTCAGCCTCAGGCCCCCGCGACAAGCTCTGTTCCCAGATTTGGGTTTGGGGATCCCCAGTCCCTGATACTGCAGTCCTGGGTATAAAATTGAAGTGTAGGGAAGGGTACAACTGGGAGCTGCGTCCCAATGACCTACCCCCCTGTGCAAAACAATACGCCAAGGTCTAGACACATGAACACCTCTGCTTGAGGTCATACAGTCATGGGAGGTGGGCAGGCAGAGCCAGGCTCTCCACTCGCTGAACCTACCTCCCACTTTGCTCTGTTTCTCAACTGTGAGTGTTAAATGCCACCTGGCACTCACTGGGCCCCTGAGAGATGTCACTGCATGTCCCCTCCTACATGTGTCTGTGGCCACATAAGCAGTGTGGCCACATAAGCACTTGCCTGTGTCTCAGTCATAGTGCGTGGAGCCTGCTGTGCTGTAGAAAAGTCCCGGTAGTGTGCGCACATGCAGTGTGTGTGTGTGTGTGTGTGTGTGTGTGTGTGTGTGTGCGTGCCCGTGTAGAAATACAGCCTCTCCCTGCTTTGTGTCAGCCCTCAACTGACAGCTGTCTAGTGTCCCCAAAGTGAGGATCACTGAGTTCACTCAGAAAGGGGTTCCCTGGAGGACAGCCCTGCCTACACTCTTCCCATACTTAACCACTTCGGGTCTGTTTCCTAACAGCCCTCCCGACCGGAAGTATGCAGCCTTCCCCAAGATCATTGCGGCTGAGCTGGACCCCGGTCCTAGGTGTCCTTCAGACACTTGTCCGGAGCACCAGTGCAAACTGGAGCAGAAACGGTTACACCCCACTCCGTGGTTGGCAGCTGCCCCCTTTCCTCATCAGTACCTTGGCTAACAGGGACTGAGGAAATGGCCCGTTGGGTAAAGTGCTCTCCACACAAGCATGAGGGCCTGAGTTCAGATCCCCCGCACAGAGCCAGGCACAGCAGCAGTGCCCGAGAAGCTGAGACCAGAGGATGCCTGGCTCTCGCTTGATGGGCTGTCTAGTGAATCACTGAGCTCCAGGTTCAGTGAGAGACCCTGCCTCAAAAAGTAAAGCGGAGGGCAGATGAGGAAGACTCCCAACCTGGACCTGGGGCCTTCATGTGTGCATACCACACATCCCCCTCCGTACACACACCTTAACATATGTACACACATTCGCACACACCCACAAACTAGCAAAACACTTCCATCCATTCTGGTAAGCAATTAATAAATGCCATCTATGGAAAGCAAGGTCGCAAGAGCAAGTCAGGGATCCAGTGCCTGGACACTCGTCTGCTTCCTCATGATGTGAGGATGCAGGGTAGCCAGCAGCAAGGGGGTGGGCTTTAAAAATAAAGCTGTTAGCTATGCCTGGTGGCGCACACCTTTAATCCCAGCACCTGGGAGACAGAGGCAGGGGGATCTCTCTGAGTTCGAGGCCAGCCTGGTCTACAGAGTGAGTTCCAGGCTCCAAAGCTACACAGAGAAACCCTGTCTCGAAACCACACCCCCCAAAAAACAAAGAAAAACAAAACAAATAACAATAATACAAATAAGTCTGCCAGCCTGTGATGCTAGCATTTAGGAGGCATAGGGATGAGTTCAAGGCTAGCCTGAGCAAAATGGGACTCTCTCTCTCTCAAAAGCAGGAC